TGTACCCCATGATTGCATTGATGTACACAGCTATGATTTAATTAAAAAAATAAAAGGAAGGTTCTGCAAAAAAAAAAAAAAAAAAAAAAAAACTGATCTTCTACCTTACTTTGAAAAGGGATACATTTTTCTGTAACATACAAATGTATATATTTGCTGAATATCTTCTAAACAATTGGCCACTTTTCCTTCATAATTTATAGGTTTGTATTTCCCAGTTAAATAAACTGAATGACATGCATTTCAGGGGAAAATCCTAAACTTCTACATTTTTTTTTCTTTCACAAATATCACTAGAGGATACTGGTCAACAAAATTTTTCAGAAATAACTTTATTATCTATTTTTTCAGTTTGGATTCCCTCCTTAATTTATGGCAATCTGATTTTGCCAAATGAAAATTATTCTTACTAAAACCTGAAACTGTCTTCTCCGCCAGATACTTTTATTCCTCATCTTCACTAACCTCAACTACAGGGACCATTTCCTTTATCTGAAAACTCCCCTGAAGGCCTTTTGGACGACAGACTTCGAGTGGTCCCTTTCAGGCTCCTTTATATGTCCCTGTCACTGCTGGTCCAAGTCTCTAGAGGCCCCTACTCTGTGTCTGGCATCGTGCTGGCTTCAGATGATAGACACAGTCTCTTGTCTGACGGGGCCAGCAGCCTCGAGGATGAGGTCCTGGTAACCTCTATCTTATTCCTACTCACACATCTCATGTTTACAGCTGAATTTCAAAGTCATGACTTGTCTTTCTTTACTATCATCATCCTGCTGAAGTGCGTTTCTCCTTCTGGATTCCCAAGTCGCTCAGACCAGACATTGTGCAGTCAACCTGACCTCCTCATCCTTAGTTCCTAATATCTCATAAGAAACTAGATCAAGTCCTCCTGAGATTCCCACTAATCTGGGTCTTTCTTTCCATTCCTGTAATTCACTTCAGGCTCCATTTTGCACAAGAGTGATCAGGCTGGTATGTAGAGCCGTCTAGGGTCTGCTAATTAAGTTCACAAACTTGCCTTGTGCTTACATTGGCAGCATTGTACAGAGGAGGTGGTAAGGTTTCCCAGCGCTGGTCTGCAGGCGTCTAACAGCTGTGCTCACACCGACATGTGGCAGCATCTTGCTGACTGACATTGGTTAGTGTTGCTGCCTGTTTTTTGTGTGCTGTCACGGGAATGTTGGATCTCGAATCAGACCCATGAATAAACCTTAGGTTTCTTGTTAAACTTGGCAAGAATGGAAGTGAAATCAGGGACATGTTCATCCAAGTTTATGGGGATAATGC